CCGGCCCGCAGGCCGCGGGCCCTGCCGGCGCAGAGCTGGAGCATCGGGATTGCCACGGCTCTCCTGGGATCGGAGAAGCCGGGGGAAGGAAACCCGCAATAAGTACGGAGCATTTGTGCAGGCTTTAGGCTAAATCCTTCCCTCCCTGGGTAGCAGGCACTGCAAAGCTGCTTCCTAAGGTCTTGTTATTCCTTTTCAGGGCAGGGCTTTGCAGCTGGCAGCAGGGCTGGGTGAGGAAGGGGGAGAGAGAGGCATTGCACGTGGGGGGCGAAGCTGGGTGCGCTGGCCTGGCACCCGGCGACTTTGTTTGAGCAACGTTCGGGATGACAAGTCCAGCATCTCCGGGTGAGATGGCGCAGGAGCCCGGAGCGGCTCCAGGAGGAGGACGAAGGGCGAACACCCAGCCGGGCACACACGCATGTCCTGCGATAGCCCTCGGCCACGGGAGCAAAAACGACAACGAGCCCCGCTGGCGTCTGTTCCCAGGGCCACCCCAGCTAACGGCGTTCGTCAGCAGGTCCCGGGGAGCCGACTTGCAGGGGACAGAAGATGTCACCCGTTTTTCTCCAGGAGCCGAATAGCGAGGCTGTCCCCACACACGCGGGAGGTGGGCTCAGCCCCCAGGATCTGGATTAGGGGTTTCTGCCTGCGCCCCAGAGACAGTGGAGGAGTCAAGGGTGGGGATCTGCCATCATCCACATCCCACACGCTGTGGAGCTGAAGTCTCAGGTTTTTTTGCCTTCACCTCCCACTCGAGGATCGGGAGCCAAGCACATTTCTCATTGCACCCAGCGCGCGGGCAGGAGGAGAGGCAATGTGGGAGGGCACGGGGGGAGCGGGAGAAGCCATCGGCAGGCAGGGGTGATTTCTTCCGTATGGATTACGCAGGCTGATCCCATCTCAGGCTTCCCACTGGCCATGGGGACCATCTGCAAACCCCATGTCCCTGAGCCACCCTGCCACAGAGTGGGCACTGTGCTGAGCTCTGCTCTAGGACAGCGGGCAGCTTGGACTGGGCAGGGGGAGCAAACACCATCGCAGCCCTCAGGGCTGCCACCTCCCTCCGCACAGCACCTCGCACCGAAGGGGCCGGAGGGACCCCGAGCGGCTGCGGGGCTCTGCACGCGGGGTGAAGCTGCCTGCCTGCCTGCCAGCACGATCCCCAGCTGGGATTTTGCAGCAATGGTGCCAACACAGCATCTTTCTCCTTCTGGAACAGGTTCCCTCCTAACCCCAGGCCCTCGAGAGCAACAGTCACGAGAAACCATGGAAACGGGTGGCGGGTGAATGGCGACGTGTGCCTGCGGTCCTGCCCCTGATTTCTGTCCCGTGTCCGTGACGGGATGCAGAAGTTGAGGGCTGTTGGGGTCCGCCCGGGATCTGGAGGCAGCGGAGCATCGCCGCCGCTTTGCTCGCTGCCTCCTGTTTGCGGAGCGGGACGGCACGCGGGAACGGGGCTGGGCTCCTGCCAGGGCCAGGTGTGACGTCCCCAGAGAGGGGGCAGAAACCTTGACAAGGCTCGGGGATTCCTCACTTGCTTTTCTAATATTCTCCAATATTCTAATATTTCTAAATGGAGACTCTGAAGCCAAGACCCTTCGGTTCCCAGTGCCAGGGATCGAGACGAAGCGCCCGCTGAAGCCAGGCTCACCGAGTAACCAGGTACCAGGCTGCCAGCCCGGTATTGGCTAGGACACAGGGTACGAAAGCTTCCAAGAGTCCTTTTCTTTAAACACACATCACGTGACAACCAATGATCCACCTAAATTATTGCCCGAGCGTTCGTATTTGTCATAAATTGAGTTTTTCCCCTTTTTGAAAGCTTTCAGGCTGCATTGCGGTTTTGCTCTGGTTTTAGGCTGGGCCCAAACACAGCCCCTTCCCCTGCGTCTGGAGGGAGGGCGAGAAGCGTGGCCATGCCCTCCCGGGTCCAGAGTGGTTCCTCTGCTGCGTGGTGGCCACCTGGGGACATTGGAGTTAATATCTGAGCTCGGGCTCACGGATGCTACTCCAGTGGCTAATGGGCAGAAGGAAAAGCCAAAATTTAAGATGGCTGGTGAAAAGCTGCCGGTTTGGAAGCCGGTGGTGGTGTTCTTGGGGACCTGAGTGATACCTGAGCTCCGGCCAGGCAGAGCTGGCTCCGCTGCCGTGTTTGCACACTGGTGGCTTGGCAGCTCCCAGGTGAGCCGGGCTTTGTGTCCCCGAGCTGAGGGGCTCACGGGCGCGTGGGGCTCCTGGTCCATCTCCGCACAAATTTGGCGAGGGACCCACAGTGGGGGACCCGTGGGCAGCACCTTCTCCAGCAGCTCTCGTTGGATCTGCAGGAGCGAATGCGCTGACACGGCCGCCTCGGCTGCTGTTTGCTGAGGCTGGTTTGGAGGAGCAACACGGCGAAAAAGCCCCCCACATCTG